GGAAGAGTAAATGAATCCAAAGCAAGAAGAAGGAAGGAAATAAAGGTAAGAGAAAAATCAATAAAACAAAGAGTTGGTTCTCTGAAATAGTCAATAAAAATAACAAACCTCTTATAATGCTGACAGAGAAAAATAAAAGACAAAAATTACCAATATGAGAAATAACGGAGGAGTTACCACTACAAGACTCTGCAGATATCAAAAGGATGTTGGTTATTGTTTTTAAGTGCTGTCTAGTCAGTTCCAACTCACAGCAATCTTGTATAGGGTTTCTGAGGTTTGTCAATCTTTGCAGGTGCTGAAAATCCCATCTTTGTCCCACAAGAATGCTACATTTGCCATCAGAGAGATGCAAATCAAAACGACACTGACATTAAAACACAGAAAACAAATGCTGGCAAGGGTGTGGAGAGACTAGACCCTCCTATACTGCTGGCAGGACTGTAAAATGGCACAACCACTGTGGAAAATGATACTGCATTTCCTCAAAAAGTTGTAAATAAAAATATGGCATGACCCAGCAATGCCTCTAGTTGGTATATATCCTCAAGAAGTAAGAACCATGACATAAATAGATATATGCACACCTATGTTCATCGCAGCACTATTCACAATAGCATGGAGACAGCCTAATGCTCATCAACATGAAGGATACGCAAACTTTGGTACATATAATGATGAAGACTTAACAATGAATCTGCAAAACACCTCATATCATGGATGAATGTTTATGACATTATGCTGAGTCAAATTAGTCACAAAACAAACAAACAAACAAACAATAAAGAATAATGTATTAGACCACTATTGTAAAAAGTCAAGACAATGTTTTTATGCTAAAAGAAACAGTATTTAATGATAACCAGGGGTGGGAATGAAGGGAGAGTAATTCACTGACTACAAGGTAAACATATTAACTTGGGTGACGGGGAAGACAATATACTACAAGAGGGAAGTTGGCAGAACAATGACAAAAAGAGGAAGAGACACAAGAATCAGATGGACACATCTCTCTCACAAGGAATAGCTGGTGGGTTCAAACAGCCAACCTTTAGGTTAACAGCCAACTGCTTAACCACTGCACCACCAGGACCCCTTTCAAATGTACAATGATTAAATGTAAAAACAGAAGTAGATGGCATTATACCTTCCAGAAATACGGGCTCCCGGGCCCCAGTACACAGATCTGGAACACAATTCATTAACGTAGAACCCTAGAAGTTTCCTTAGAAATCCAGAAGAGACACTGTGTTTCTCACAAGGTGTAGGGAAGAAGATGCACTCCCAAACCAGACCAGGCAGAGTAAGAGAGTGACTTTCCAGCAGGATAGCCAGTAAGAAAGCCCAGCTGACTGGCTGGTGGTCCCAGGTATCAGAGGTCACAGTAACTGGGAAGTGGGGCACACCCCAAACATAAATACCTGGGATTGGACAGGGGAATATGGACTTCCGGGTTCTCCACTCAACAGAGTCTCACTGTTCATTTTTGTTTTTAGACAAGCAATGTACCGGCTGCAGAAATCTTTGCAGAGTTCATTAACTTTTTCTAGCTCAAGAAGATGAATCCGCAAAACTTGGATAGCTTTTACCATCTGGAAGCAGAGAAAATGCAAATTTTAGACAAGAAAACTACAGCACTGTCTAGTGTGGTGCTGCGGGTTAATGCACTGGACTGCAAGGTCCACAGAGTAAGTGTTTCAAGCTCACCAGGTGCTCCTCAGAAACCCTATACAAATGTCGCTATGAGTCAGAACCCACTCAATGGTACTTAACAAAAACATTCTCAGCTACTGGATTCCTGGTGTAGCACTGGAGGATCAGCACTGGACGTCAAACCACAAGGTCGGTGGTTCAAACCCACTAGCTGCTCCTCGAAAACCTTATACAGGGTCGCTGACTCAGAACTGACTTGATGGTACTTAACAACAACATTCTTAGCTACTGGACTGAAATCCATACAGCCAACGCCATCTTCACTACCAACAGCAGATATGGCGTGACATCAGAAATCTGACAAGTTGACATATGATCTGGTACTTTGTCCTTGTGTATGCCTACATAAGGCCTGTCTGGCATGCCAGGAACACACTCCTTAAAGTCTAAACTCAGCATGTCAGCATGAGGCCAGCAAGTAAGGGATGAAGTACTGGGTTCCACCACTGATCTGCCAAGTTATGTAGCCTCGATGGGCTCCTATTTCTTGTTCTATAATTAGGATAAGTCTGTCAAGACCTCCTGGGGTGTGGTGCCGATCAGCATGCTGGGACAATGCTGGGCTGAGAAGGAAACCCGCAGGGAGCACTGGCTTGGTCTCTGCCAGGCAAGGGGTGATGGTATCACCTGGACAGAGAGACTGTCATCACAAGCCCCCCTGTGACTGCAGACCTCTTTGCAGCTCTAAGGGCACACCCCTGCTCCACCTGGTCCCATGAAGCTTTATCCCATCTTATCCAGAGTTGGTAGGGAGAACTAGTTCCTTCAAACTAACTTTAAACCAAACTCCTGTTTATAGGCATAACAAAGCAGATTGCTGTTGTTAAGTGCCATCAAGTCAGTTCCAACACATAGTGACCTTATGAATACAGAGTTTCCAAGGAGTAGCTGGTGAGTTTGAACCACCAACCTTTTGTTCAGTGCTTACCCTGCAGTGCCACACCAGGACTGGAACAAAGCAGATTAGGAGCCCAATAAATATTTAAAAGTTTATATAGATAAAACACAGAGTCTCCTATATCTAAGAGGTTTACATTTGTAACAAAGCTTCACAGAGCATTCATTACATTACATAATTAGCCTGTGCTCTACTGTTGAGAAAGCAAGAGAGCCACAATTGAGTATTTTAATTCAGTGTGAATTCCTAACAATGTATGGTAAAATCAATTACTGTGAAAATGAATCATAAGAATGAAATAAGATCAGCGTATTTACTACACTAATATATAAGTTCAGGTTTTTGTTTTTTGGTTCATTAATAAAACTCAGGACCGAGACACCCTCCCCCACCCCTGTGCCACTCACCCACTCTCACATGGCACCTTGTGTACACTTTTCATCTACTAATTTTACCCTTTCACTAGTAGTACATTTATTTATTGAAAACAAAAAATACTTTATGTTCTATAAAGCCACAAAATAAATGCAAGTTAGATTTTGTAACAATTTTAAAGTCATCCTAAGAGTGATAGTGTCAACAGTATTTATACTCAAAAGAGCAGCTTTACAATGCTGCTGAGTAAGGACAACACGTCTACTATTACACCTACACCTGAAAGTGCCTCTTTTCTCTAGTCTGGACTTAATAACCTCCTATATTTCCAGGCCTTAAACACTCTGCCCTGCCCTCCCTAGTGCTCTGACATCAGGTGTGGGGTCACAGAGTATGTCCATGAGTTTGTTGGCCTTTCATCTCCAATAAGGGCCCACTAAGGCCCTCAAAAGAAAGCTAATGAAGAAGCCTACGACAGCTCCTCATGTTGTCAAGAGTGTTGACCTAGCCCTGGAGGAAAGCACATGGTCATACAAGGTAGAGCCAGGAGCTCCCCATGGCTGGAGCACACTGTGTTGTGCCATGCTGTGCGGCTGAGGAACGGGATGGCTCCTATGAAGGGCACAGAGATCTAATTTTAAAGACTCCTGGATTTTTCACTGGAGAATGCTGATGGCCACCCCCTCCACTCTGTACCTGTGTGCTCTAGGTTAGACTGTGCACCTCTCCACACCACCTGGAGATAGTGCTATCTTGGGAGAATAAATCACAGTTATGGGTTCATGACTAGGGATAAGCCAAGTTTATCACAGACATGATATGAGGGATCAGGGCTTGTGAAATCCCAGTTCCAATGAGCCTTTTGAAACATTCAGGTGAGAGTTAGATTTCCCTTAGTTCACCTGGGAAGGAGGCATAATCACAAATTTGCTATTAAAGGAAGGGTAACTACAGAAAGTTGGAGGACTTGAGACATCCAAGTTACCCTCAATATAATAAATTATGCACAAACAGTAACATTCTTTCCTTTAGCAGAACTACAGTCTAAAGTCCTAATTGTTGTTAAGTGCCATCAAGTAGATTCTAACTCACAACCAAACCCTTGTATAAGGTTTCCAAAGAGTGGCCAGTGGGTTTGAACCCCAACCTTGTGGTTAGCAGTCCAGGGCTTATCCTACAGAACCACTGTTGTTGTTAAGTTTCATCAAGTCAGTTCTGACTCACAGCAACCCTGTATAGGTTTTCCAAAGAGTGGCTGGTGGATTTGAATCGCCAACCTTGCGGTTCAAACTGACCTTGCAGTCCAGTGCATTATCCCACAGCGCCACATACAGAACCATAAGAAATCTAAAATTTCATGAGCAAATTTTAAGTGAGGAATAAATAAAAAACAAAAATAAAATATTTTCTTTACTTACTAAATTGTCAGTTTCTGGATCTTCACAAAAGAAAGGCTTTCCTTCTTTTTCTTGCTTCCTTACAAAATTTTCAATGTCCACATCAAAACTGGCCGAAGTTGTGCCTTCAGAGCCCTGTGTAGATTGCTCACATTTTTCAAACAACAAAGCTAACAGTGGGAACAGTGGATGCCTGGGAAGGATAGGTGAAGTTGGGAAGAAAAAAAGAACAAATAGACCATATTTTCACAAGATTATTTTGGTCTGCATGAACGTTCGTATGTATGCATGTATTTCTAGTTTTACATACAGCTTTGTTGAGATCTATAATTCACATAGTACATAACTCATCCATTTAAAGTGCATAACTTAATGGATTTTGGTATATTCACAGAACTGTGCAGTTATCACCACTATCTAATTCCAGAACATTTGCATCATCCCAAACAGAAACTCTGCCCATCTTAGCTATCACCGCCGTTATTCCATCCCTCCCAGCCCAGGTAACCAATAAGCTGTCTTCTGCCTCTGTTTCTGTTAGGTGTCCTACACCCTCCTCACAATCATTACCACATTTGAGCCCACTGTTGCAGCCACTTTCAATCCATCTCACTGAGGGTCCTCTTTTTCACTGACTCACTGCTTTACAAAGCACAATGTCCTTCTCCAGAAACTAGCCCCTCCTGATAACATGTCCCAAGAACGTGACATGAAGTCTTGCCATCCTTTGTTGTTGTTGTTAAGTGCCGTCGAGTCGGTTCCGACCCATAGTGACCCTGTACAGGGTTTCCGAGGGTGTAAATCTTTACGGGAGTAGAAAGCCTCATCTTTCTCCCGCGGAGCAGCTGGTAGTTTCGAACCGCTGACCTTAAGGTTCGCAGCCCGATTCGTAACCACTACGCTACCAGAGCTCCGTAGTCTCTGTAAATTTCCCTATTCTGGATTTTTCATATAACTGGAATCATGCGGTCCTGTGTGTTTGGCTTCTTCCACTTAATGTGTTTCCTGGATCCATCCACATAGCAGCATTCCTTTTTGATTACCAAATAGTCCATTGTGTATAGTTGTTAAGCACTGTTGAGTCGGTTCTGACTCATAATAGAGTTTTCCAAGGAGCAGCTGGTGAGTCTGAACCACTACCCTGCAGTTAAAGCCAACATTCTGGTCCAATGCTTATCCTGCAGTGCCATGCCAGGACTCCATTGTGTGAATATAGCATGTTTTAGTTATCCAGTCATCTGCTGATGGGCACTTGGTCCACTTCTTGGTTACTATGAATAATGTTATGAACATTCATGTATAATTTTTTACGTGGATACATATTTTCAGTCCTTTCCAGTATATACCTAGGAGTAGAACTGCTGGATATATGTTTAACTTTTTGAGGCAACTGCCAAACTGCTTCCCGGTGGCTATATCATTTTACATTTCCACCAGCAGTATATAGTTCCAGTTTCTCCACAACTATAGCAACACTAGCTATTATTTGTCTTTTTATTAACAGTCATCCTAGTAAATACAGAGTGGTATTTCTAGTATTTACTGTTAATAATGTAACAAATAAATAAAGGAAAAAAATTCGTATCATACAGATTAAGCAAAATCCTCCTGGACAACATACTGTACTCCCTCTTTAAGGTGGCCACTATTCTTATTTTGGTGTTCATACTCTTCCAAAGTGCACTGTTTATTCATAGAGTTCTTTAACTTGCTCTGCTCTGCCAAATACATCATACATAGGAACAGGGCCAGCTTAACAGCTATAGGAGCAGGGCACTTGCAAAGAGCCCAATACCTGTTTTAATGTTATCTTAAAATTCTCAATATTTTTTGTACACGTTCAGCATTTTCTTTTTGCCCAGGGTTCCATAAATTGTGCAGTTAGCGCTGCTTAAGAGACTGCCTATATCAGTTCTAGACATCTGTTCTCCTCTAACCACAGCTGGTTTCCTATAGTATGACAGTGCAACAAATCAACCTCTCCTCTATGGCTGGCTGTTAGGTTGTTTGCAGTTGGTTAATATTTATAAATAATACTGCAACAAATATTTGAGTCGGAGAGCCTTAGCTTTCATATACACACTGAAGTGCAGTGAATTATTTTACATATCTCTTCTAATCATAGTCTTTTTAACTCCTACCAAACCACTTATTTTCTTGATGGGTCTTGGTAGGAGAAGGTGGGAGAAGATACTGATAAGATGACTTGACTCAGTTATGAATAACTGTTAATAGGGCTAATTATGATCTGGAAAGCTAATGACGGGATTGACAATTTTACCATCCTGCTGGGTTTTAAATGAGCCATCTCAAAAGCAGAAAGGGGGATCTGACACCATCAAAGAAAGTCAGCAGTGGAACACATTTTAGACCCAGAGATTCCTCTGTACTAAACCCCCATGACCCAGGAGACAGCTGTGATACAGAGAAGTGGCAGAGAAGCAGCAACAGCAGACCCATGAGCCAGAGCACCAAACACAGTAGAGTGCTTCCTGACCCACGGAGCAAGTGGTGTTGAGTGCCTTTGGGCAGGAGGCTCACTTATAGAGTAGGGTACCTTTGGGCACTTAATTGAGGAGCTAAAGCCAAGCACCTTTGGGCATTTATCAGCAATGTTGATAGAGCTCTATAACATTGCTAGAGCAGGGCAGAAGCCAAGGATCAGAAAGAAGTCTGCTTGTGGGTATGGCTGGGAAGGGGCTGCCTGTCTGAAGGGCTGTGCCCTAAGCATTTCTAATTCTGAATTGTAATCTGTTCACTTCCGGAGGAAACGTGAATTGTTATTGTTATTGTTAGGTGCCATTGAGTCAGTATCTACTCACAGTGACCTTATGCACAGCAGAACGAAACACTGTCCGATCCTGGCCCAACCTCAATACTGTTGCCATGCTTGAGTCCATCAATGCTGCCACTTGGCCAATACATCTTGTTGGGGGTCTTCCTCTTTTTCTTTGACCCTATACCTTACCAAACATGATATCCTTCTCCAGCGACGGGTCCTTCCTGACAATATGTCTGAAGTATGAGAGACGAAGTTTGGCCATCTTGGCCTCCCAGGAGCACTCTGGTTGCACTTCTTCCAAAACGGATCTGTTGGTTCTTTTGGCAGCCCATGGCACTTTCAGTACTCTCGGCCAACACCATAACTCAAAGGCATCAATTCTTCTACGGTCTTCATTATTCACTGTCCAGCTTTTGCATGCATATGAGGTTACTGAAAATACCATGGCTTGAGTCAGGCATACCTTATTCCTCAAGCTGACATCTTTGCTCTACAACCCTTTAAAAAGGTCTTGTGTAGCATATTTGCCTAACACTATATGTAATTTGATTTCTTGACTGCTGCTTCTGTGAAGTGTTGATAGTTGATCCAAGAAGACTGTGTGAACGTGCATGCTCATTTCTCTAGGATAAATAACTGGTATAGTGGCTATATCTGGCTTATACGGGCAAGCGTCTATTTAACACAATAAGAATCATTTGTACTCCCACAGCAATGTTAAGAGTTATAGTTGCTTTGCTCAGCAGCCAAGCCAGTATTTGGTCTTACTACTTTTTTTTTTTTTTCCCAGTTTAACTAGTCTAACAGGTGGATCGCCTCACAGTGTTAATTTGCATTCCCTTAACTACAAGCTGTTCTGTGGGAGAAAGATGAGGCTTTCTGCTCCTGTAAAGATTTATAGCCTCGGAAACCCTGTACCGGATAGTTATGAGTCAGAACTAACTCCACGGTACTTAACAACAACAGCTAATACTATTAGATTTGTGTTGGGTTAATCTGCTGCAAAAGACGTCTTTACTTTAAAGTATTAAAATCAAAGATGTCACTTTGAGGACTACGGTGTACCTGACTCAAGTCATGGTATTTTCATGCGTGCAAAAACTGAACAATGAATAAGGAAGATCAGAGAAAAATTGATGCATTTGAGTTATGGTGTTGGCGAAGATACTTAATATATCATGGACTGTCAGAAAAAGACATATATCAGTTCTGGAAGAAGTACAGCCAGAATACTCCTTAGAAGCGAGAATGGTGTGACATTGTTTCACACCTTGGTGAAAGACATCATGCTTAGTAAAGTAGAGGGTTAGTGAAAAAGAGGAAGACCCTCACCAAGAAGTATTAAGACAGTGGCTACAACAATGGGCTCAAACAGAAGAACAATTATGAGAACGGTGAGAACCAGGCAGGGTTTCATTCTGTTGTACACAGTGTCCCGATATGGCTAATGATGCTGAACATCTTTACATGTGATTTCCCCATATCATTTGGTCCTTTGTAGTTAAGTATCTGTTCAAGTCTTCTGCCTGTTTTTCAATTAGGTTGCTTGTTTGTTTTCTGTTAAATTCTGAAAATTCCTTATATAGTCTAGATATAAGTCTTCTGTCAAACATTTAATATCCATGTATTTTTTTCTAGTCTACCGTTTGTCTTTTCATTCTATTTATAGTGTCTTTGGCTGAGTGGAGTTTAAAATCTTGAACGTTGTTGTTGTCATTTAGTAGATTACAACTCATGTTGACCCAATGTGTGCAGAGTAGAACTGCTCCATAGAGTTTTCAAGGCTGTGAGTCAGAATTCAACTCAATAGCAATAAGTTTGTTTTGTTTTGGTTTGACTTTTAGGAAGCAGATCACCAGGCTTGTCTTCCGAGGCACTTCTTAATGGTTTGAATCATCAACCTTTTGGCTAGTGGTCAAGCCTTAACCCTTGTGTCAACCAGAGACTCCCTGAATTTTAATGAGATCCAACTTACCTGCTTTGTATTTGGTCAGTCATGCTTTTGGTGTTTTGCCTACAAACTCTTTGCCTAACCACAAGTCATAAAGACTTTATGTTTACTTCAAAAGTTTTTGTAATTTAAAATTTTACATTTTGATTATAACCCACTTTGATGAAATTTTTATGTAAGATGTGAAGTTTACGTTGATGCTCATTTTATGCAAATGAATATCCAATTATTCCAATACAATTTGTTGAAAAGTTTATCAATTCTCCATTGAATTGTTTATACCTCTCTCAAAGATCAAATGAACATATTTGTATCATCTATTTCTGGGCTCACAATTCTATGCATGAGTACAATGTCTTGATTACTGTAATGATAGTAAACCTCGAAATGGAGTGGAATGATTCCTTTAACTTTATTCTTTTTAAAGATCGTTCAAGTTGTTCTAGCTCCTTACCTTCCATATAAAATTTCGAATCAGCTTGTTTGTATCTACTACAGAAAAGTACTGCTGAGACTTTAATTGGAATTGTGTTAAACCTATAAATCAATTAGAGAAGACTGCCATCTTTACTACATTGAATCTTTCATGGTATGTCTCTCCATTTCTTGTTGGTTTTTTTGTTTTGTTTTTTTAATTGCTTTCACTAACATTTTATAATTTTTAGCATAAAAATTCAATACATTTTATTTTTATACCTATAAATAGTTCTCTTTTTCACCCTAGGAGGTCTTGTAAATGATACTGCTTTTAACTGAAGTTCCCAGTTGTACAATACTGGCATAGAAATGGCATTATAGTTTCTGTGTGTTGTCCTTGTATCCTATCACCTTGATAAACTTATCAGCACAAACATTTTTGGTAGGCTCTGTATGACTTTATATACAGACAATGCCATCTGTGCAGGGTGTCCACTTTACTTCTAATCTGGTGTGCCTTTACTTCTTTTTCTAATCTTCCTGCACTGGCTTAGAGTACTCTCAACATCTTTGCCTAATTTCTGATCTCAGGAGGAAGGCATCTAGTCTTTCACTATTAAGTATGATGCTAGCTTTGGATCTGGTAGATATCCTTTGTCAGGTTAAGACAAGCTCCCTTCTATCACCACTTTATTTAATGCTAACTAATGTTAAATGCCTTTAGTATCTTTGATATGATCATGAGGTTAAGCTTACTGATTGATTTGCTGACCTGCTATTTATTTGTCTATATATATGTTTGGTAGAATTCTTCAGTAAAACCATCCAGGTATGAAGATTTCTTTTCACAAGGTTACCTAAAATACAGATTTATACACCAAAACTTTTTTTTTTATTATTAGAAATAGCATCTAATCAGAGAAAATTTTATCCAAGTATAGTTATCATATAATGGCACTTTACCACTCCTGCCTAATTAAGAACTCTTCTTGTCTAGTTCCCATCAAGTCAATCCTAACTCATGGTGATCCCACATTTGTCAGAGTAGAGCTATATTCTATTGTTTTCAATTACTCCTCTTTGGAAGAAGACAACTAAAACTTTCTTCCCAGGTGCCTCTGAGTGGAATCAAATCTCCAACCTCTGGGTCAACAGCTGAGGATGTTATCATTCGTATCATCCAGGGAACTCCAGTGAATATCTCTAGTGTTCTGGTTCACATTCCCCTTAAAGCCCCACCATGCCACATCTCGAGAGCTACCTATAAATGGCCTGCTTGTCTGCATCCATTGGCGTCTGAGATTCAACAGGGGGAGGGCTCACTCCTTCTGCATCAGGCTCAGAGCAGTTAGGATCTTGCTCCGTTTTTAACTCTGTTACTACTTGCATCTGTAAAAGGAGGACAATTTTTGTTACCAAACATAAGATAAAACTGCTACCAAGTATCCTATGGTAACTTGCTGGAAAACTGTGATTTGCAATTTCACAAAAAGAATACTGCCAACAAAATTCCTCTGAATTGGATAAAATAAAGATCAAATTTCTGAACCATTTAAGATTGAGATAACCAGTAAAATTCTTATAAATTTTATAATCATAATAACTATGCTTTACATATGCAATCTTTCTTCAGTCTCAGCATGTTATATATCTTCTCATTTCATAATATTACAATAATGGAAAGAGAAACAATTCAAGCTTTTCATATTTTGTCACAAACATAGGGCTGAAATTCTCTCGCTTATCTACTCTCAAACCTCAGGAATCCATTGCTACAAATAAGCTCAAAGCTCTGCATTCAGAAAGTAAAGGACAGCTGTCTCTAAGGAAGCAATATTAACTACAATAAACATTAAGAAGAAGGCCTAAAGATATGAGCATTTAAATTGCTTTAAACAAATTATGGGTTTTAAATTACTTAAATCTTAAATATAAAGAACATGTTTAGGCTACTGGGGGAAAAAAAAAAGTTGATACAATGATCTAATCATCCACAAGTAAGGGAAATCCCCTCCCTCCCCTCCCCCGCAGGAGCATCCGGATCCTGCCCAGCACTGACTAGTCATGCTCCCTCCCCTCAAGGAAGCAACCAGCCATCTGTATTCTTCTCCCCAACATACTGAGTGGCCAAGATGATTTCCATTCTGTGTTGGAAGAGGCAATGCCTTTAGATTATATACTGTGCTTGGGAAATTGTCTTTCTCTTAACATCAAAACAAAACAAAAAACTAAAGCCCCATCAAATACAATTTTTCTGGAGGGCAATCTGACAGTATGTATAAAACAGTCTTGAAAGATTTATGTCAGTATTTTTTTTTAATGACTGTGGAAAAAGAAAAACCTAAATGTTCAACCTCAGAGGAATGGGTAAGTAAATTATATATCTATACTGTAGAATATTAACTATTTATTTTAAATAGTTTTCCATGCTGTGGAAACATGGACAACTATTTAAAAAAGAAGAAGCATTTTCATGTGCTTGGCACAGAGACCAGAGATTTGTAGGCCTGGGAGGTTGAGAGTAGTAAGCACAGAAGGGCACCGTGTGGTAGACTACGTGAGAAGGTGATCGCTGCTATAAGACACAAACAAGAACAGAGGAGCGGGATGAGATGCAGGCTGTAGTGTGAAACAGGGTAGGATGGAAGATGTGAGTTAAGCAAAGACTTGAAGGATGATGGGAGGAGGGGGGTGATTGAGGTGGCATGGCCCAGCAGAGGTGTATGCGTGTTGATAGCTGAAGGAGGGCAGAGAGCCTTGGGACTCTGAGTAGGCATGGGAGTAGTGAGTACTGAGTCAAGGGTGGTGAGTAAGGGCCAGATGGTGCAAGGTCCTGTAGGTAAACTGTTGGAACTTTCTCTGAAATCTATGTGGAGTCACTGGGGAATTCAGGCAGGGGGACAGCATTAGATTCGCATTTTAGGGGGAAAAATCACTTGGTTAAGAGAGCAGGTTAAAATGATATTAAAGAATGTCCCTCCCTCAATTTTTATTAAAGCAGCAGCAAAAAACATTTTGTCAACAAAAATCTCTGCATAGGAATAGACAAGGTACAAAACGGCAAACCAAGAGAAAAACAAGAGTTAGGAGAAGGAGAGGCACAGCCAGCCTTAGCTCCTAACACAATAACCCAGGACCTCAAAGGAATGGTATGCAGGTTAGAACTCATTAGAAAAAGAACACTGTGCCTGTGCACCAACCCCAATACTGATCATTCTCACCAAAATCCTCAAGTACAGAGAAGAAAACTATGTGGACACTCTCTTATCCCATTCTCCTTCTGACTAAACAGTAAAACCCTGGTCAACAGGAAGCAAATAGCAGAGGTAAATCTTCCAACGGAAATGGGACTCTGAGCAATGGGGTAATGAGTCGCTAGGGAACAGCCCCAACTCAGAACATCATAAGAGCATTCGCTAAAGCCTCAGTGGTCCAAGAAAGACTGCCTGGTGCTGGCCGGGGACAGGATTCCCTTGTGACCACCTTTTTTTTTTTTACTACCTTTGTTCACAACTCCTCCAGGTCACATAACACAAAACACTAGCCTGTCACAGCAGCATTAAGGAAAACAAAGTGTGATCTAGTGGGAAGACAGGAAGTCATGTCTACAACACAGAAAATGACTGTCTAGGCCCAGTAATCCTGGCACCAGCAAGGCAAAAGGACACAGTGGTGAAACCATGCTATCTGTATGACCAGGAGGATGAGAACACAGCAAAAGAGCATTGAAGAAACCACATCTGATTAATGGACCACACACACCTGAACCTCCAAGATTCTGAAACCAGAAGAACTAGATGGTACCCAACTACCACTACTGACCAGTCTGAAAGGATCACCAACGGAGTTCCTAGATAGAGGGAAACTAAAATGTGGAACAAAATTCAAAATCATAAAAAAGACAAGGCTTACTGGCCAAATAGGTACACTGGGGGAATCCCCAAGAATATGGCTCTTAGTCACCCTTCAGTGGCTGAGATAAGCATATAAAGTGAACAATGACAATAGAGAGGCAGGCACTCCTTAGAACAATTAACCATTCAAGATGAAAAGGGCAGCATGTGCCTAGGGATAAAGCTCAAAAGACAGGAAGAAATAGAAAAGAAGGATGAAGGAAATGGAGAAAAATAAGGTAGAAGTGGGAAGAGTGCTGTTAACATTGTGGGGACTGCAATCAGCACCATAAAACATGTATGACTTGCTGAATGGAAAATTGATTTGCTCTGTAAACTTCTATCCAAATCAGAAAAAAAAAGTTTAAAAACAAACAGCAAAAAATCAGATGTGAAAGAGCAAAGAAAAGTTCTCATAACTGCCCACTATTGGTGTCTATGAGGACCTCTGACTGCATAATGGTTATGAGTCAGGCTTCTAATCTAAAGGTTAGAAGTTGTAAACTACCAGCGGTTCTGCAGGAGAAAGATGAGGCTTTCTGATTCCGTAAGATTTATAGCCTCAGAAACCCTAAACAGGTTAACTATGAGATGGAACCGACTCCATGGCACATAACTACCACCAACGTTGGAGTCTATATAAAATTTATGTCGATAAAAGAACTGACTGGATTTAGGAGTGAGGGACAGTTTATAGTCTTAGGAAACAAATAAGGCCCAAACATTATTTTAGAACTACCAGACAAACTAGACACAGATGAAACAGAAAACATCAGTAAAATTGCATTATCATTACAGAGGAAAGATCTTAGACAACTGCAGCAAGTTGTTGTTGTTAAGTACCATGGAGACAGATGCAAGTCATAGTGACTCTGTATAGTAAAGGGTAAAGTCAGACATAAAGGTAATTAAAGAAAAGGTAATTGATATGGGAACATATAAGCACAATCTAACCTCAGGACAACTGAGGTGGAGAACATAGCAAAGGGAACAAAAACAGTTTCAAAAATATAGTGCAGAAGGTTCCTGAAATGAGGAAAGAACAAACTCTGTCTATAGATCAAAACACATGCCATGCTTCAAGATAATCTGATAAGAATGTACAATGCAGGGTATGGCCCAACTCCATAATAAACTTGAAGAATTAAAAATTTATAAGGGGAAAAAGTAAAAAATTCCTCAGGCAACCACATAGACAAAACTAATACCCCCAAGGGGGAAATCAGTTTGGCCTCAAACTCCTTTAGCAGCTTTGCCAGGAGATAACAGAGAAATGTCTGTTAACGTTCTTAAGGAAAAGTCTAATGCCAGCAAATCATTCAGAATCAAGATGCCTGCCATTCATGTATAAAACCTACAGGAAGGCATTTGCAAACAAGAAAGAACTCAAAGAATACGGTGTCCATGAGTCTCTCTCCAAAAATGATTATCTCATAGCAGCACCCAGCTGGCATCATCTTTTTGCCCTCTTACTGGAACCATAGGGAACACTACTATCAGAAAGGCTCCCTGTCAAGGATGCTGCAGGGCACCCTGAAGGAGGCCATTCTGGGGTCTTTCCAACCATGATCCCACTCCAGTGGGCAGGCACCACTGACACAGACCCCAGTGCACCTCCTGGAGCTAGACAATAGTGGCTCATCCTTGACTCATGCTGATGTGCTTATAAATCCCAGAATACACCATGATTTTTATGGCTCTGGACCTTTTGTATGCTGTCTCCCTGCCCTGGGTGGTCAGCAGCATGTCATACAGCAGCATGAAATACTCCCTTCACCTCCAACCTAATATCTGGACAACATTCTGGGAGGCTTCCCTGATTATCACCCATTCCCTCCCCACCCCTAAATTAACCCAACTTTCTGGGCAAGTTTCTCTGGCTAATCCTGTGTCCTGTCACCCCTTAGCTAATTCAATTTTCTGGGAAGCTTCCCTGACCATTACTGTCACCTCCTGCCCCCTTTAACTAACCTACTTCTCTGAGACTGGATCAGACAAACCCCATGCCCATCTGCACTGTCATGTGCAGACTGGAAATGGGAAAAACAGGGTGGAAGTAGGAAAAGTGTTGCTGCATTGGGGGATTGTAATCAATGCCATGAAACAAAACATGTATGACAGACAGACACCTGTCTGTTTCCCTCAGGGCAAGGATCGTGTCTTCATCTTCAACACAAAGTCTTACACACATTAGAAGGCTTATGCATCTGTTGGTTGAATCAATGAACGAACTGAAGTAATATTAAACAAAACAGAGAAAACTTCTATTTCTGTAACTGTCTTTATTTCCCTATAAATGGGACACCAGTATACGCTCTCTGAACTCCTGGTGTGGCGCTACAGGATCAGCACTGGGCTGCAAAACACCAGGTTGGCAGTTCAAATCCACCAACTGCTCCTTGGAAACCCTATACAGTGTCACTACAAATCAGAACCAATTCAACAGCACGTAACAACAAACAACAAAAAGTATGCTCTCTACCACTAGATGCTCAGCACACTACAAGACTAGTAATGCTGCCCTTATCAAAATGTTTAACTCCGTTAATAAAAGATTTTCCCCACAGGAACAAACATAACTCAGTTTTCTAGTTTCAGGTAAAAAATAGGATAAAAAAATTTTAATTTTACAAATGACTACTCTATTTATATAGGTGTCCTACCAGCGTAGTGGTTTACAAATTGGGCCTCAAATGGCAAGGTCAGCAGTTCAAACCTACCAGCTACTCCATGGGGGAAAGATGAGGCTTTCAGCTCCATAGAGATTTATTGCCTCAGAATCCCTATATTGTTGTTAAGTGCCATTGAGTCGGTTCTGACCCATAGCGACCCTGTATAGGGTTTCCTAGAAGCAGCTGGTGAACTTGAACAGACGATCTTGCAGTTCAAATGGCTTTGCAGTCTGGCGCATTAACCTACAGTGTCACACCAGGACTCCTGCTTCAGAATCCCTATACAGGGTCACTATGATTCAGAATCAACTCAACGGCATATAGCCACCATCACTGCCATTATATTTACCTACAAAATAAGGGGTCTTCAAGTGACTTTTTTGCTCAAGGACAGACAGTGTTTTCTATATGGTGACTATGCTACTTGGGGTAGAATCTCCGGGCCTGCCTGTGCAAAGGCCCTCAAGGGGTTATGGTGAAGCATTCAACCTTCTTAGCTGTGACCCCAACTCCACCCTGGCAAGGCTTTGGGACCTTGGGTAGCTGTCTAGACACCCTATTGTGGAAGGAAACATGTGGAATATACCCTACACAGTATTTGGCACAGTCATTGTACCCAATTGAAAGAAGGGAAAACTTAAAGATGTTTGCCTAAGGTAAAAAAACAAATGATAGCTATGTGTGTTAAATTATGCTAGCAAAAAGAAAGATAAAAAGGCCAAAATTCTCTAGGCTTGAATTCCATGAAACAGGTAAAACTAATTACATTCTCCATCATTGTAGATCAGGGATGGGGAACCTTTTTTCTGACAAGGGCCACTTATGTATTTATAACATCAGTCAAGGGCCATACAAAACTTATCAACTTAAAAATTAGCCTGCTATATTTGGTCAAACATTTATAATTAACTCACTCCTAATGTGATGGCTGGAACTGTGATTGGCTTGACAGGGCCAGACCAAATGATTTCACAGGCCCATGGGCCGGACGTTCTCCAGCCCTGTTCTAGATGGGAAAGTGCTCAGTTGTGTTAGCAGACATCTAGACGTAGCCTGCCTGCTCCGCTGCAGTCTCTTTTCACACTCACCAATAGCTCATGAAACCACAGGATTCCCATCACAAGATTAATGACACGCAGACTAGCAGCCAGTCAACATGAAAATCAGGATTGCCAAAATATCCAGATTTCCCTTAAAAACAACATCCTTATTAAAATTGAAATTAAAAAGGTAAATCCCCAAGAAACTATCACATGGTTTAGGAGTCAAAATTGGTGGCAATCAGGATATTGCTTAAGATAAAAATTCAAACCATTTAATAGCATATCTTTCTAAATACTCATAGATAATTATGTATAATATAGTTTAACTTGCACCTCCAATCTCAAGGAAATTGAAGTATAAACATACAAAGCATCTTTATATCTTTTCAGGTCTAGTAACTGAGATCACAACAAAGAATAAAGTCAAAGCTCTCACTTGTTGCCCATCTTGATAGCTGTCTATACTTAATGTCTGTGTAGCCATCATGGTTAATGAGTTTTATTACAAGACATCAAATCATCTTGAGTCAAGAGCAAAAGCAGTCTGGGAAAACAAAAACAGAAATACATCAGTTAATGGTTGTACAACATTTTTTTGTCCTGTTTACTACAAAGCATCCACAACGTTAAAAACAACAACACACATTGTGGCGCTCGCTGTAGTATAAGCACTAGACTGTAAGTTTGGTTTGAACTGCAAGATCAGTGGTTCAAACTCACCATTCACTCCCCAGAAACCCTATACAGGGTCACTAAGAGTTGGAACCAACTTGATGGCACTTAACAACATATTGTCATATGGAGAGAAGTCATCCTTAAAACATCTGAGGGATCAAATTCCAATCCAGAGTACTTCGCTTATGGGCACTATGCTGGCCCCGTCTTGTCATCACATTTTCCACCATGGGGGACTCCACAGCATAGAAAATGCCCATCATCTGTAAAAGACAGCCCTGGGCCTTGAGACACAGCCACAGACAAGTCAGTGAGGTCCCAGCTTTGTGGATGAAACCTATCAAGGAAGAGTGACACATCGGGTAAGCGCCATGCAGGGACTCCCAAGGGTGCCATGATAGGGTAAGAGGGTGGCCCCATGAGTTATATGGTCAGGGCAGACCTGGGAGAGAAAGTGCCAGTTAGGCCAAGGTCTGGACAAGGAGAGAAAGTAGTCAACGCAGGGTAAGAATGATGACAGATGTGCTTGGGGCTACACAGACAGGCACACTTACAGCACTTGAACAAAATACAAAAATGCACTTAAGAGCTCATTTGTTTAATGACAATGTCTCACATACTTTTAATGGAATGGACAATGGGCAGAAGCTAAAACGGCAGGGGTGACAGACACTCAGTAAGTGCAGACTCAGTCAGGGCACCAAGTTAGCATCTGTGCAGGCCCAGGGCGGCACATATATGACCTGCACCATCAAGACCACCACATCCAACACATGATGCATAAATGGAAAGACACTGGAAGCAGGTTATGAGCAAAACGGCTGAAAGGAATGGCAATATCCAGTCCACTAATAGCAGCAGGGACAACAGCTGCAAATACCAGGTGTCTTCTCATCACTTTACATCCTAACTGGGGTCGTCTTCACACAGTCCAGCAAAGGGCTTCTCTTTTGAGCCTATTTTATACTACGGAGCCTGAGGGACAGGGACAGGGCAGTAGCTAAAGAGAGCATAGCAGCTTCAACCTCAGTGTCATACCAGAGCCCCCTCCAAGGACCTAGGATGTAGGAGGGCTAGACATGAAAATTCCCAAAAAGACATGGAGAAATAAACTCATGCCTGTTTCATTCAGCAAATGTTTACCATGTGTCAGACATAGTCCTATGCCCTGGAAACACAGCAGAAAAACACTGCCCTAAGCCTGACAGCTTAGATTCAACTGGAGACAAACTCAAACCAGTCAATTAAAAACAAGTGTGAAGGTGATGGGACGAAGGAGACAACTCTCACCAGGGAGAGGGGATAACTGGCGGGGAGGGGGTTAAGGGACTTGTGAGGAGTGGGGCTGGTGCACTGCTGAGACAAGTGGCAGAGCATAAGTGGAGAGGGAGTGTGTGGCAGGGATTAGAGGAGTATCAGTAGGGGCTGCAGAGAAGACTGTGGGAGTCTGACACAGAACCACAGGAAGATTGTGATGAGACCTGTACTTTAGGAGAATCCCTTTGACAGCTGTGAACAGAACAGACAGCAGGACTGCAGGGGTGCTGTAAAGGGGAGCAACAGGAAGGCTGGGGCAGAAGGCCATGTGACTGAGGGAGTCAGGGCTCAGAAGTAGAGCCAGCAGGATTTATAGAGAGACTACAAGTGGGGTGTGGGAGAGGCTTCAGGAGGGCTCTGTGGGGCCCACCTAGCAGAGTAGAGTTAGATTTCCAGAAGTGAAGCAAAGTGGCAAACAGACGCTCTGAGCCTGGAGAGAAAGCAAGAGTCAGGACATTTTAGGTACGAGAAGCTTCTCAGACTTCTAGTGGATATTGTGACCAAATGTAATTTTTAGGTTGGAAATAGAAACATGGTCATCATCAAAGTATGGTTACTATGTGTAGTGCACTGAATTGTGTCCCACAAAAAGATATGTCCAAGTCCTAACCCTCAGTACCTGTGAGTGTGACCTTACTTGGAAATAGGATATTTGAGGATATACAGGTAGGCTCCCACTTTTTGTGAGTTCACTCTATGCCACTTCACTTTTATGAAAGACCTACATTAGTACCTGGGTTTTTTTTTTTTCCAACCAAATGGGATTTTCACTTTTATGAAAAATGGTGAAAAGCATTTTCAGCATTTGTTTTGCAGCATGCACCACAAGCACCAAAAGTGACGTCACCAAGCTCCTTCCTTGGAGTCACACTCAGTATCTTAGCATCAAGTTGCTGTGGATCTGAACTGTGTCTCTGAGCATGTGTGCACTAAGGGATCAGAAAAGCCCGAGAGTGGTAAGGGTGTCATACTTCCTATGTATTCCGGCTGTGGTAACAGAAATACAGACATGGAGCATGTGTTGAACTTGCTTGTTGTATCCACCATCTGTACTATTTACATACGGAGAAAGGATCTGAAAAGCTGCCAAAGTTACCTGTGGTTCTGCTAGTAGCAACATGGTCTCCTTTAGGGGACATCAGTAAGGAAAGTCTGCTGCTTGAGTACATTGATGGGTCTACAAAGCATGGTATTCCATTAAGTTATCTTATACAGGATTCCCCCACTATCCTAAAGTAGAGCTTTCGTATGAAACCTTTCAAAAGATGAAATGGTGTAAAGCAAGGAAGCACTCTCACTGCTTGGGGTGAGTGCAGCTTCCTTACCTGAAAAACAATTGAGGAATGCTAGTCTTGCTTTTGATCACTCTTTATAAAAGTAAAAATCTTCCTTGGATTTATTTCGGTTAGCCAAAACAGACACTATTTTTTGACAAAATTAGGAAAGTGATTGATTTTGGAGCCCAGGAGCAGAGGTCCCTGGGACCATTAAGTGAGAAGAACAGAGAGCGAGACCCTACCCAGAGAGGTAGCCATGCCAGGGATGGAGACAGAGAAGATGACGGGGACAGATGGAGTGGCTGGGGACACTGGACTCGGGTAGGGAGAAGGCCTGTGTGGTGTACACTTTGGGGTTATATGATACATTGTCATCATTGCAATGAAACGAAATATGATAGGATGAGCGTAAAGCTAATGTTCTCCCATTTAAACCTCACAATAACAACTTAAAAACAAAAACATATAGGTTACTATTGAATCCTGGTGGCACTGTGGGTTAAGTGTTTGTCTGCTAACCAAAAGGTGAGAGGTTTGAATCCACCTTTGTGCAGAGCATGAGAAAAATGAGGCTGTCTATTCACATAAAGATTTGCAATCTCAGAAACTCTAAGGAGCAGTGTTTCTCTGTCTGGGGTCTGGGCATCAGAATGAATTCATTGCAGTAGATCTGGTTTGGTTTATAATGTCGTTTTGAGTTCAAATGGACTCTATGGCAGTGGGGTGAGGGTGAATGTTAAGTCTTTCATGAAAATCAAGTGGCACTAAACAAATTTTCTTAAGGAGAAATCATTCTTTTTAGTAGGTGAAACAAAAAACACTGGAAGAAGGTGATGAAAATGTTATAAAAGTAGAATTTAAAGGTAGTCATGGTGGTCTTATAAGTTTTTGAGGATGGGGCAGCTACATAGTTTATGGGTTACTGAAAAGTGCTTTGGCTAATACTAAAACTACTGAAAAGTAACTAGAAAAACTGAAGAAAAAAATTTATAGATGGTGACTATTCATATGAATAAATGCTTAACTGTGACAAAACTGCAATTTACTGGAAAACATTGCTGAGCGAGACATTTACTTTGATAGAAGAAAAATAGGTTAAGGGACTCAAGGCATTGAAGGTTTACCTTCATGCCGAATGTTAACACCACTGGGAATGCTGTCGTCAGGTCTCCACTAGTGTACTGTTCAGAAAATTTGAGGGTACTTAAAAGCATTGATAAGAATATACTTCCTGTTGTGTTTAGTTCACATCCAGAGGGAAGATAGTCATGCGATAATGGAAGCAGATGTTGGAATGAGAGTCACAAGCCACAGAACTACCAGAGGACAGGAGAGACATGCAAAAGAATCTTCCTCAGAGTCTCCAGAAAGAACCAACAATCTTGTGGACACCTTGATTAGACTCGGAGAGAACAAATTTGTAAGAGACAAACTTCTGTTGTTTTCATTCACCCATTTGTTATGACAACCAGAGGAAATTCATACAGTATGTAAATACCCACAATTGGATGAGATCACCCAGAATGACACAGCAGGGCCATGTCAGAAGACAGCTGGAGATCAGGATGTTTGGAGAGTCCAGCAAAGAATTGGGAGCAGCATGCAGCTGGACAGAAGTAGAAGCAAGTGGTACCCCTGAAACCCTGGAAGAAGGAGGGGCAGCCATGTAATTGCAGCTGAGAGTCAAGGAAGAGTTGCTGAGCGCCATCCGCTGGGGACTCAGAGCAGTGTTGGCAGGTGTAGTAGAGCATGTCCGTGATGACTCTATTCCACTTGTAGGAATTGATTCTAGAGTTATGCCCATCTCACTACCACCCAGGGTGAAACATGTTTCCCTGGGTCTTCACACACCCCTCTGTACTTAACATCTTTGACTATACTTTCCCCAAGGGCCCTGCCCGGTTTCATCTCCAGCAGCTAGCACAGTATCTGATGCCTGTTGTTATTATCCAAGGATGAGTGGTCCCAAACTTACAATGGAAGGAAATGCTGCCTGGTCCTGAGTCATTCCATGATCGGTTGCAAATCGGAACACTGTGATCCCCAGGGTTTTGTTGGCTGCTTTTTGGAAATATATCCCCAGCTCTCCACTTACAGACAGGTGGTGACTGTGCATGAGGTGTGTTGGCTGGGAATTGAACCCAGTCTCTTGCATGGAGGCAAGAATTCTATCACTGAGCCAACGCTGCCCACCGATGCCATTGAAAAGAATCAATTAAAAAAGAAGAAACAGATCCCTGATGTAACAGACATTGGAACACATAATTTAGAACAT